TGCAGCAGTTCTCAGTGTCTGTCAATGGGTGGCTGGAAAGCTAATCAATTTGTGAAGAGTCTGATCAAGTTAAACACTCTGTGCTCATTCATGCTGCTCCTGCACACAAACTCAACTATACACTGTGCTTTAGTACCCCACTGCCAAATTTAGACTTAATCAGAGTAACATCTGTACTATCATGCACTGTATAATGTCTCAGTTGCCCCCCTTCAACTACCATGCACCACCCAGACTAAATTTGCACAATGCTGGAGAGACTCTAGCTACAGTTGTACATATACTGCAAACAGTTTCGCAATTCTGTATCAAGCTACTGCGATAAATCTGCACTAGAGAACTTCTTGACGGTCCGTTCAGCTGGTTGTATACTTGGGGGGTGAACGATATTTACAGCGTAAACATCGCTACAGTTAAAATTCAAAGAATAACAGATGGAGGATTTGACTTAAACCGTTTCCTTTTGGACATCAGCGCAGCAGTTTCTTGCTGTGCTCCAAAAAAGGGCCTAGTCATAAAAAGGAGAAGAGCTCAGGGGAGTCACTAATAAGGCACTTCATTCACATCTGCTTTTGAACTTGGCTCCGGCTGTGGAGTTACAGTGACCCCTACAGGTTGGAGTGACCAAGAGAGATGAAGGCTGGGGCTGTTTATGATGCTGAGCGAGTGAGTGTGTGTGTCTGCGTAGAGTGGAGTGGGTTATGTGAACATACAGCCATCTGTGTATGCTTATGTATATTTGTCCATTCATTAATGCAAGCATATGCATGCGTTTCATAACTATATCATCATGGATCTGGCTCTGGCTCTGACAATATTGAGAACGACATTTGTGTGTGCATTTATGTGTGTGTGTGTGTGTGTGTGTGTATGTGAGCATATTCACATTAATGTGCTGCAATATTTGCATGTTTGCCTTGCATTTAATGTTTTCCATCCCAGATTTAAGATTCAAACAAAGCTATAAACAAACTGATGAAGTCCACTGATTACAATTTGCTGATAAGCCAAGAACAAAAGACCTTATTATAGATTCAGTTATATTTGATTACCGTTCACCATTTCCTTCCTCCATTCAACATTTCCTGATTCTTTGAGGAAGTTAGGCGACTCTCATTTTCTATTTTAGGCCATTAAGCTGGCATCACAGAGCTTGCTCAATTCCTCTTTCTCTCTCTTATGTTCCAGTTTGCCAGGCGTGAGAAAAACTCTAAAGGCTCTCGGCAGAAACTTCACAAATAATTGCTTCATGTCAATATAAATATTAATTCATCACATCACATCCTGTTCAGCCTAACCTAGAAACCCAGTGCAAACATCAGGCTGGAAAGGCAACATCTCTGATCTCAACAGTGTCAGGGTAAACCATGTTTTCTCTTCTCTAAACCTCCGAGGTTCACTCCACTCTACACACAAACCTCTGCCAAGACAAGCTGTCAGACTCCAAAAATAGAGCAGGATACTGGGGACTTTGACAACTGTAGGCTCCCACTTTGTTTATCATTCACAGTGTCAGCGCCCTGTTTGCTAAAGTCCTTGATGACAAACTGAATCTCGCACAGAATCAGGTAAAAGGTGGCTGCCGCTGTGGCTAATGTTACATTTTAAACTGATATCTGTATGCCAGTACATTTACTACACTTTGGTCTTAAATGTTTAAGTTATGAGCGTGTCAAAATAAAATAAGATTACAGGGATGCCAACAAGTGATAAATGATACAGGCTCTTGACTTGCCACAAGTGATTTTATGCACAGATATCTATCTGCTTATTGTATTATATTTATCCACTGAAGCAGATAATGGATGAGGAGTCAGTGTGTCGCAGTGGCTATGTCACATCTGTTGGATATAGATTTTGTTAATTCAGAGATTCTGTAAGTGCCCAGTGAGTCTTTGCCACTTACATTACAAAAATAACTTATTACACACTGCAGCTGAACCTCCATATTTATGTGAATCTGTATTTAAGGACTTAACACAGTCACTTGTTATAATCTCCTAAAGTGTGTGTGGTTGAAATGTCCCATTACCTCAGAAAGATCTTGTAGGATGTGGGCTGTGTCACGTCTCACAGCTACCAGACAAGGCAGACAGGAGCTAACTGTGGAGCCCTGACGAAGGTGAACAGCTACTGTGGCCTCCTGTTTCTGTTTACTGTGCTTTTTGTGGAAATAGAGGAAAGTTCATGGAAGTGTTTCTGGGGTCACCAGCTGCTAGGACAACACACATTTGGCAAAAATGAGAGTGTAACTTCCAGAGTCCAGAGAGGGCAGAAAAGTTTGCCATAGCACAATGTATGGAAAGAAAACTAAACCCATTTACACTGCACTTGTAGATATTAGCAAAATAATATCATAACTGCTTGCAACCTCTGCAAAAAACAATCCAATCGCCAGAAAAATGTTGGCATTGTAAGTTTCTGCAAACCACAGATCCGTTACAGCTGTAAATATGTTAAAACTTTACGCTTCAACAAAGCAGGGGTTAATGTGTGGCAAGATTTAGGCACAAGAACCACTTGTTTATGGTTAGGAAAAGATCATATTTTGGCTTAAAGTCCCTGGTTCTGGCAGCACAAGCCCAGCTGGAAAAGCAGCAATGTCTTAGTACAAAAACAACTACTTTCTGTGGCACTCTTCCCACTGATAAAGCAGCAACTGGTTGCTAAACAACACCCATGTTTGGGAGCTAAAAAGCTGCTGGAAAAAAAGATTTTGTGGTTTCTTAGTCACAAATAGTGGTCTGCAGCTTGGCAGACATCCAGCCTTGGTTGCATCCACCGTAACTTCCACCTCCTGATGCCAAAGTGTGGCAAAGGCTGACAAAAACACAGTGAATGCTGTTATAGAATATGGCAAAATCTACACAGCTAAATGTCATTATCTCCTTATTATATTAACTACAGAACAAAGCGAGCTTATGACTGAACATAACCAGTTTAATAATACCAGTTTACCAAGGAAACTACTTGACTGACAAGTAATGACTCGTTTAGCAGAATGTTGGATGTGTATGTGTGCACGTTTTATCCTGAAGGCAACCTAATGATGTAATTCAGACAGGACTAATGTCTAACCGCCTTGGTAGATAAATAGCTACAATGATTCAAGAATAATTGCTGCCTTTGTGCAACAGTACATGGGTGATGGCTACAGAGGATGGTTACATATTTATAATAACACAGAAGAATCTGATGAGTGTACACGGTGTGTCAGGTGAATGCTTGCAACTTTATTGACAAATTCATTGAACCTTGTTCTATATCCTCAAGAAAGTGACGAAATAAGTTGTACGTGATGAAGAGAAAGTCAGTGTGAAAAGACTATGAATGGATTTTATGGAAAGTTGTGTGAAAGTGGTTAGTGCACAAACTACAAAATGATTGCGCAGTAGGTTGTGTGCTACAGACAGTCTGCGTGTCCCTTTCAATAATGCCGATGTTTTGTGGGAAATAAATGCATGTTCGATAGGCCTCAAGGATTGACGCAATGTGTTCTTGTGAGAAACACTGCAAACATAACTGTGTTTACAACAAAACTCCACAGGGGACTTTTGAGCACTAGCAGTCATTCCATTGTTGATTATGTGATTACACTTTGACATAAATGGTCCCAACAGACATGCGGATGTTTGGTGAGTCTCTGCGAATACGTCTAGTGTCTGTAACCAGTTTAAGGACAAGCAACATGAAAATGTCATCACTGGTCAAACTGATGAGTCACACAGGATGTGCCACTTCCACAGAGACAGAGAGGGAAGGAGAGGGAGAGTCTGAGTGAGGCAGTCTTTTCTGCAGCTCATAATGTCACAGCACCCAGCTAAGCCCAGCAGCAGCCAGAATGATAACGGAGACAGGGAATAGAAACAGGGACATTACTCATCATTTTGTGAAATAAAGGTTGGGTGAAAGGAGAAAGGAAAAAGCCAGAGGGGCAGAAAGACAGATGAAAGCAAAACAGGAAAATTAAGACATGAAAGAGAATTTACAAGCAAGCAAATTATCAAATTTAGACTCATTTTCAGTGGCAGGCAAAAGAGACAAGGTCACAGTGAAGTGAGCGTTGGAGGAGAGATGCTGCTGACTTAAACGGAGCCGGATCAGATGAAGAAGAGAGGAGGCAGGGTAACACTAGGCACAAGGTGTTGGACCAGCCAGTGGGGCGTAATGTGAGTCTCTCAAGAGGCCGCCTTCACCTCTCCACTGTCCTGTGTACACACACACAAACACACACACACACACACACACACACACACACACTAACACCGACCCTGACTGCTGATACACTATACCCTTCCATCTTGCCTGCCTGCCATAAGCTCGGGCTGACAGACAGTAAAGAGCTTAGAACTGCATTAAAATCTTGTCAAGGACATGCCATATACTTTATCTGAGGAAAATATTCGAATAATCTGCTGTCTTTGACTGGATGGGAGAAGGAATAATCAAATTCCATGTTTTACTTCCTTGTCCATTTTGCCTTCTTATTGTGCTCCCAAACACTTGTGGGAATAAGCGCAGAGCACGATAAGATAGGCACCCTCTCTGACGTCAACTAGAGAATTAGACCCACATGGACGCACAAAAAATCTCCCTGTTTATTGATTTAATGATTGATTGTCATGATGGGAACAGATAAACTTCCTCAGGAAAAGCGGTCGGTCACTCACTTCATTTATAAAGACTTGTGTTGATCTTATGTTCTACAGCCAAGGACACGGTAAGGTCTTGGATTACGCAATCAGACATCCCCTTTCCTGGAGGGCTGAGAAACTGCATGCACGCTCCTCCAAAACCTAACCCCAGCACCTCCCCCCACCCCCACGCACACGCACACAAACACAGACACTCATTAGACTCTGACGACAAACAGGAACTTTAAGGAATCCTGTCAGCAATCAGACACCCTCTTTATTCTGCTCAGATACTGGAAGTGAGGGTAGTGGGTGGTGTATAGGGGGGGTAAAAGTTAATGTTTATCCGTGTGTGTGTGTGTGTGTTTGTGTTTGTGTGTGTCTGTGGAGTGAGGCGCAGACGTCTGAATGCTGGATCCCGTCCCAGAGCTAACAGGAAATCCTTTATAACCAGAGCTAAGAGTCACCTAAACAGCTCCCAGATACTGGAATAAAGCACTGGGACCACTGGGGTAAACACTTCACTGAGAGTCTGTGTGTGTGAGCGTTGTCTGGGGTGTGGATGGCTGTTTAATTACAATGGATGAGAAATTAAATTGTGTTTTGTTTGCTATAGAGATGGAGACCAGACTTTCCTTTCCCACGTCGGCACCTGGATACGTGTGTGTAAGCAGTCACACATCTGCGAAATCCTGTTCCTTCTTTGACCAGGCTGAAGCATTTTAAATGAAATATACTAGAGCCTTTTGCTTAAGAGCTTTGGAGTACAGAGTCAAGATGCTGGACAGGGCATTGCTGAGGAAACTGTCAGTTATGGCTAAAAGCAATTAAGTTAATAAAATTAGAAATAATTTTTTTTTTGTTCCTTTCCTTTAAGATGCAAACCACTGTTTTCAAAATGGGATGATGAAGCGCCCTGGAAGCTGAAAGATGAGAAAATGAGAGGGAAGCAGTGCAAATAAAAAGAGAAATGAAACCATCAGCCATCTAGTTGTGTCTTTAAGGCCTCTAATCCATCAGCTTTGTGACCCTGCTGTCTGTGTTGTCATTGATTTATGTTTTGGTAAAATGAACGCAGACTTATGACGGCAGTGATCTGTCCCCTGCAGCCACAGCAAAACTGCATGAATATTGATTGAAGAATTTACAATTTGGTCTTTTTGCATTATTTAGCATATAACTGTAGTCCAGATCAAAACATAGAACAAAGAAAAGTACAATTTGTTTCATTTGATGGACTTACAATGTCTGAGAAACATAAGACAAAGTGTCACTTAAAAAGAATACTCTTGGTTTTATTTGTAAAACATTTGTTCAGCGCAGCGTATGTGGACAGAAATAAGGAAAAACCTACAAAAACTTGCAGGTACATTTGCAAATATAAAGGCTGTGCGTACACACTCAAAATCCCATGCACATTAACAAACTTACACACGTATGACCAGGTGAGGTTCACCTACATAGTACATATGCACTGGGTAAATTTCCACTCTACACAGACAATCTTCAGTTGTCTTGCTGAGGGGAGGACAAAACGCTGGCCAGAGACTGTCACTGCACAAAGTCTGATGTGACACACACACACACACACACACACACACATATGCACATGTGGTGGATGGGACGAATCACTATTATCTCTTAGTTGAACGTCTGACGTCTACATCATTGTTAGTGGCCGCGCCCTGTCACCCCGTGTGTGTGTCTTAATACCAAAACCAGATCAGTTTGACCCTTCCACACGTTCTGCAACCCACTTCTATATCTGAAACACTGTTAAACCTTAAGCTATCTTACTGAAACAATGTAAGCCTACAGAACATATCTAATACTGTGCAGTCTAAGCACTTCCCCATCCTATAAACTACAGCGACTAACTTGTTGTGTGTTTGGTGGCCCTACCGACTGACCAATGAATACAATGGGTGCATTATGAATAGATGTTCTTTTTTTTTTATTATACTGCCCGCAGTTGCCTAGAAGAGGGGCAAATCTGAGGATGACATAATACATGATGTCTGAAAACAAGGAGATGAAACTTTGTAGGTATAATTATTTACAAATTTAGCACCGATCTCATACTAGTCATGTAACTCTGTTCCTCCTTCGATCCTGCAAACACACTCATCCTCCTCTCTTACTTGTTTTGCCGTCCCTTCGTTAGTGGTGTAACAGCCAAATGTACTGCCTTTGGTGCCCTCACGTCTGTGACATATTCTAACTAGATACTATAGAGCTAACAGGGATGTCAGCCAGAGTACTGAGACAGTAAGACAATTAAAAACTACCTAAATTGAACCACAAGCCTCCACCTTCTTCATGCCCTAGACCTGCTCTCAACTCTCAGACTCTCACAGAGGCTCAGGATATTACTTTGGTTCTTTCTAGCTGACTGTAGCTGTAGCAGAGAGGATAAATCAAACCGGCAGCTTTAATTTTCTCCCCACAGAGGGCAGCGTCAGTGACTAATTACAGCCCAGCCACCACAGATGGAGAGCCTGTTCTGTCAGAGGTGGTTAGAAGTGGACCTGACAGTTCAAATCAATGGTGAGGCGCGAGCACGGCTGAGACCCACAAGTTCAGGAGACGTTTCTGTCACTAATTACATCTCTTCTATCAAAGATGGGAGATCTTTGGCCTTCATACGGAAATTGGACACTAATCGTTTCCTAATGCTTTGACTGTTAATACAAAGCTGAGATGCATCCTAAATTCAAAAAGACAAAAGTTCAACTGCACTGGAGGATTGGCTTTAAACTATTAATGACATGACTGACCGGTGTGGTGCTGTACAACAGTTACAGACTCAGTTTTATACCAAGATGTGGATTCAGATAAATCCTCACAGATATCTGAATGTCCTTAAATAGACCACAATGGTGATTTGGTTCTGTGGTTAGTCAGTGTGACACTCCAAGGCCATTACATGCTCGTTAGAGTCATTGACGTCAAACTGCAAACCCCAGATGCATCACAAATATGAATTCATCTTTACAGTGCTTTTAAAAGTGCAGTTTACATGTGAAATGAAGTGAACATTAATAGTCTGTATCCCAAGGGCAGCATTCATTTTGTTTGCTGTCATTATTGATTTATATGATGTGATTTTTTTCTTGAGAAGTGCCCGAATATCCTTTAGCCTTTAAATCCATCATCTGAGCTTACTTTCAAATCAACAGAATGCAGATCGACTTCAGTACATTAATTTTGCCGTGACAGCATTGCTTTATGATTTCTCGTGTGCTTAACCACTGGGGGAAACAAAATGGAACTAGGAAAACGTAGTTTGTCAGACAGAATGCAGACTCAACCCTGTCAAGAACAGAAACTAAAAAGTCTGACCCACAACTTTCTGTTTCCTTAAAGTTACTGGAACCTCTTCATAAAGTTCCACCAACAACAAGGGAAGGGTGACAACATTTTTGATGGCGGGAGGCAGATGATTTCCAAAAGAACCGAAGACAACACTGAATCGTGAGAACAACTTCATATTTTAGAATTAAGTCCACTGCATAAATCACTTTGTGCATGCATGTTTCATTAACGATGAAGAGTGAGTCACTAAGGCAGTCTTCAGTCTTCATGATTGACCTACTTATTTGTTTGGCAACAAGAACACCGGATAGATAAGCTCCAAATAAATAAGCTCCCATGCACTTATAGAAAAGAGAACATGTGTTTTTTCTATTTCTACTAAGCCATCTCAGATCTGGGACAAAATGCATACCTAAAGTGAAGACAATGACGTCATTGGTCTATTTTAATTCAGCACATCCTGCACTGTGAGCCCATCATTATATCCAAAATATTCCCAGCAGTAACAGACGACCACTTAGAGGGTACATCTTAATACCAGAGCGCACATTCAGTCAGGCCTTTAGTTTGACTGTCTGGAATCCAACCAGACCTTCATCGACTGGCCTTGACTAGAAGGCCACAGATGCACGCCCATGTATTTTATAAACTATAGCACAATCTCAGACACGTGCACGTCTGAGGAAGAAGGCCTTAACATGCAGTACAGTACCAACAAAGAACAGAACAGGACGGAATTTTCCATCCAAAACCCTTTCAGGTTCAGGGGCTCTGCCTGGGCCATAAACCGGTTGAGCCCGAGGTGGTTAGCCCCCAACAACAGTCTGCTTTAGTAGGGGCTCGTGTTTGTCAACCAAAGAGAGGGGGGGACCAGTGGAAAATTACCAGTCCCGCACTCCCTCACGCACACACACATGCACACATACACACACATACGTGGTGACCAGCTGAGAGACTAACCTGCAGCCACATATCTATCTCGCTCATTGCTTATGTGACAGCTTGCGTTTTTAATGGGCCAGGGTGCGGGGGGCATGGTTGCGTTGTCAGGACGCGCCGGCCCGCAAGCTACGCAACCAATGACATTCGATAATGTGTGTTCACATCTATGCACATTTCCAAGAAAATAATGTGACATGTCTGGTGGCTAGTAAGAAGGGTTGGTAGCATGCAGTGTGTGTGTGTGTGTGTGTGTGTGTGTGTGTGCGCACTCTCAGTTTAAAATATTCTAGTTTAAAGCAGTACATATATGTACTGTGTATATGTGTGTTTTTTATGTTTCTGTCATTGTCAAAGGGAAGTTTTGTGCTACACACACTGTAGCTGTGTTAATGTGTGTGAGCTACTGATCTATACAGCACAGGGAGATGAATGCCTGTATAACACTTTGCAAAGGTTCCCTATCCATCTGCATTTAAGAGCATATAGAGAATCTGCAGATACGATTAGATGAAAATGCCAATGAAAGTGATGCAGAAGATGTGGGAGTATGAAGATCTGAGCCCGCATAAACAGTGAATTGTGGGTGTTAATGCTCATTGTAAAGCATCATAGTATGACATATAACGTGAGCAGAACTGTATTACCTGGGTTCCAAGGCAGCCCACCATCATGTGAGTGAGCAGTTTGGCAGCAAACATGGGGAAACGGGAGCACAGCACATGGGAAATAATGGCCAAGGCAAAGCCTGAGAAGGGAAAATTGGAAGACATGGAACCAACATTAATGTTAGATAAGTAAATGCTTAATATAAGTCAGCTGTGGCTATTTATAACAATGTGGGCGGATTATGGAAGGTATGTTCCAGAGGGACAGCTAAAGCTGAAGTGGGTACACAGGAAAAAAACATGGGAAAACAACATTAAAAAGGGAAGACAAAGGGAGAGTGTGTTTTGTACCTGAGATGCAGATAAATCCGGAGGCATAGAAAGCGTCATTGTAGGATGCAAGAGTGGCAAACTCTGCGTAGGCCGTGTAGATAGACAAGTGGGAGCAGGCACATTCCACATAGTTCCCACTCTCTTTCACAACCCTGCAGTACTGACCATCTGATGACCAGCTAGAAGAGAGAGGAGGGGAGAGGATGCAGGATGATAAGAAACTACTGTTAAAACAGTGTATAGTGGTTCCCAGTGGTTCCAAACTGGTGGGTCGCGGTCCAAAAGTGAGTCGCAGGTGTATTCTGAATGGACGGCAAGTGTTGTGTAACTTGCAAATGTGTCAAGTTTGTAAAAAACACAGTCTATTTTGAAGTACAGTGAATTTCCGGCACAGAGCTTTTATTCTGAAGTGCCTTTTCCTGCTGTGGCGTGAATGACTAATGGACAGCTACATAACAGAGACAGAAAACTCAAGTATGATGCTGAATGTATTAAACTGTGTGGACCTGGAACAATGACTATGGAGAAATCTGGACACCATGGCTGGACCAGTTGGGAACCACTGGTGTATAACAAAAGACAGTCAAGGTAACGAGTGGCAACCTCTGCACCTGAAAAACTAAGCCAACACAGAAGTGCCAAAGACTGCAGTTCCTCTAATGGCCACATGAGGCTGTTTCTAAAAGTGAGTCGATCCTATAGACCCCCATATTAAAATGAGCAAGTTTACAGCGGAAATAAACACGTTTACAGCCTAATACAGAAACTGTTTTGGTCTCCACAGCTA